ATTGGGACTTAAACCATGTGAGTTTTCTTCCTCATGATAAACTTGCAAGCTCTGATGTTTTAAAAATAAAAGTATCAGACTCCTATTATGCATCCATAACTACACAGGAGGCAAATCCAGTAAGAAGGCACTATTTTTCAGTGTCATTTTTCACGTTACAACTGCATACTACTAAGTGGCAAACATGAATTTAAGAAATGCTTGTTTCTAAATGCTTTCTTGTTTGAGAAGCATGCAACATCTGCAGGTTAGATAGTCTAGTATACAGTTTGGTTGGTCTGTGTTTTAAAATGGAAAACTTGGTTTTACTCAATAAGCTGCTTTCCTTTCATATATCCTAGATGCTTCTCCAGGTCATAATCTTCTCTAAGTTTTCATACAACACATAAATGCTTTCTGATCTCAGATACCCATTTTTTCTTTAAATCAGGGTATTCATAAAATTGTGCAAGCTCCATGGTGACACGTTAATCGAGTTTTAGCTCAGAACTAAACCCATAGATGATGATGGTGAAAGACAAATAGAACACTTTTTCTAGATATTTTCCTTATTAATAGTTTTGGTGATGTTCAGCTACAAAAGTGAATGTTTTGGAAAGAATCTCTCTGTCCAAAGAAAAGAATCACAGAACGAGATTTGAAGTGGACAAACCAACAGGAAATTTAGCCTGTATTTTTATAGGTTAAATTTTTGTCTGCAAAAATGGTTCCCACATTTTAAAACTGGTTTTAAGGCAGGTAGGTGGCAAAGAAAATGTTAATACCTATTATCTTTAATTTACTTTGGAGAACAAATTACGAAGATTGTACAGGTCCTAAACACACTTGTCAAGGAAGAAGATCAGTCTTTACAAGAGTAACCTCCTTGGCTGCTCCTTCTTTCCTAGAGAGGAATTATACTTGTGTTTGGGAGACCTTAATTATTCACATTGTACAACAATTAGATGAACAATGATAAAAAATATATGAACTCTTCAAGTCTTAAAGTGCAAAGGCTAAAGAAAAGAATTATAGTGAGGAGCAAAGCAAACAAGTTCAGGAGGAACTTAGTTTCTACAAGCCTCCATAGGCTTCCATGATAAGCTTCCATGAGCCTGCCTGAACAAAAATATGAGAGAATCAGCGCACAGCATATGCACAGTCATGTACAGAAGGGATATATCATGTTTACTGCATATTCTTTAAAGATAACCTATACATGCAGAGCATGCTATGTCACTTCATACTCAAAGCATACGATGGCAACTTCAGTTTCCGGTACATCTCTGGATCACTGCAGCAGAAGGGGCTCAGGAGATTTAAGATGTTTTACAAGTATGGAGCCTACTGTGCATCCGCTCAGTTGATGGTCTGAACAACAGCATTAGATGTGGCTGGAAACTACCCACAGTGCTTATATCCTCAAATTCTGTCTAAATGAGGCTCCTGAATCAGCCATATCTCAGGAGACTGGGTAGCTCTAACCCAGCACACAGCTACAGTTATTAACTGCGGCAGAAGAGTAAGACCCTTGATCCTTCTGCCTTCCTAGATCTCTTACTACAGAGCTATGTATATACTAGTAAACCGAATGTGCCCACGAGCTATGTATATACTAGTAAACCGAATGTGCCCAGAACGTTCTTAAAAACTGAGGCCAACTGTCAGACAAGGCTTGCAACCATACTATTAGCTCTCCTACCTTCCAGTGCTGGGAGGCTTTAGCCAAACTGCCCATGGGGGATAGTCCCCGGACCACGCTAATTCTTGAACCATGCTTAGGAATTGTTCAGAACACTGTTAATCGGCACAAGCCAAAACAGTGCAACGTATTAAATATTTAACAGCCCACAGGAGTGAGTGCCAGTGGCCAGGAAAGTTCCCTGGCTGCATCAGTCTAGATGTGGCCTTATTACACAAGTTCCACAGCAATAAACAAACTTCTCTGCCAAAATTCAATTCCTTTGCCTTAGAAATTTGGAGACCGGGAATGGAGAGATTTTCTACTGACTTCAACAGATTTTAGTATTGACGTTCCTTTTGTAAGATACTTATATGATACTTGAAATATCTTTGGGTAAATAATGACAAGAATTTCAGTGATCAGTATTTGGATTTATTTTTGTAGACAAAGAGATGGCATTGAAGTGAGAGAATGAAGGTTTCAATAGTTATAGGGCTGGAAAGATCAACAAATACATATTTTTAAGTTTTCAGTAGTGCTTCTAAAGCTAAGGCATACGGCTAAAAGGATGAATGAAATGGGAAAACACATGAAGAACACCTCTACACAAAGCTGTAAAGGTACAGCTGTACCTTTACACAAAGGTAAACAATCACAGGTATATAAATATTTTAGCAAATGTGATTAAAATAACATGCACACTTCATCACAAGACACTCATATTTGCTTCCAAAAGAGAAGGGGACTGAAAGGTATGAGGAAAAGGCAGGAATGTGGTGGGAATAAATATACAGTTTAAAAGGTCTAGAAGGCTTTGTTCCCAAAGATTTTTTCTCCTCATTCTTATTTCCATTAAGGCCTCCATGTGCAGCATAAAGTCCATTTAAACGTTTTCATTGACAATGTGGTAAACTGAATAAATACAGATCTGCTCTGTCCCAATCTATCCAAATCCCTCTGTGATTACAGTATGCAAAAATGAAGTAAAAGATGTGCACTTACGAGTAGCTCCATGAGTATAAGGTTCTTTAAAATGTATGCACCTTAAACCTGTTTATGACATGAAAAGCCAGGGTTCATGGCCTTTACTGTCTGTAGCACTGAAGATAAACAGGTATCAGCTGTAAGAGTCATCAGAAGGAGTCCATAACTTAATCCTATACAGTTATGGCCTGATTCTATGCTTACTGGCATAATTTAAGATACTATTCAATATATTTTGAACAGACTAATAAAAATTACACATTCATATTTCATTTAGCCGAAGTTAACAGGCCAAATTATCCTAATGTGTTAAGCCCTGTGCTGGGAGCACGGAAATCATTTCATAGGTACTACATAACAGTAGTGATCTGAGATTCATTTTTGCATACAGCAGGGCAGAGCAGAGTCTCCTTAGTGTTGATCTCTTGCTGATGTGCTGTATTTTGTTAACAGCTGGTATAAGGTATGCTGACATGGCTGGGGTAATAATAATAAAAAGGCCCATCTCCCAGTTTAAACAAAAATTTTTAGCTTATCTGTTCTCCGTTTTTTGTATAATAGAGATTACAACAATTAGTACCAGGAAATAGAACAATTTAGGTTAAGTTACTTTATTACTGTCTTGACTCCAGAAATATTTTGTTTATACCTAATCTTGTACTTTTGGTGTATAATTTCCTACTTGCATACACATTTCTTAGATGTCTTAAATATGTGAGCATGTCTTGGCAGCTTTTTTTTCCATAATTCACCTAACTGATAATTGTGGAAATAAATTAATATTCTATTAGACTCAAAGTATCTCCGTGTTTTAATTCATTTAGTAGGCTTTACTTGGAGAATCTCTCAGAAGCAGGAAAAAGACATCAGAGGCGGAATTAGGGCCTCAGTGAAATTAGAGCTTTATCACCGACTTCTACAGAGGGGGTGTTAACTGGAGCTAATCACACATGCAGTTGGTTTTACGTGGTATATATGATGAAATCATCCTAATACTGCTTCAGAAATACTCTGGAGAACTGCATGAAAGTGTAGGAGAAAAAAATCATAGTAAAAATGTTCTTGTTTATTTTCAGATCAGCCATGAATTATTCCATGAATAATCTAGAACCTTGATACTCCTCTGCCTCAGTTCTTAGATTGCCTTACTAACTAGAATAACATATCCTGGGCCATATCTAAGACAACAGGATACAGTACACATTAAAAACAGTAAGAATGTGGAGCATAAAATCCTATATATGTTAGATTAGAATTTCTCGATGTGTAGTCCATAAATTATTAGCAGAACAGACAGAAATATCAGGGCTGACAGTCATGTAGTGCTGGCTTCTTCCTCATTCCCAGAGGCTACATATTGTTGAAAAACAAATAAAGTACTCTAAATTATTTACAAATAATATGTTTTGCCACCAAGCTGTTACATAATTGGGTATGAGAAGACAGATGATAAAAAAGAAATTGTTATGAAATATAGTCAGCATATTCATATAGTTTAAGAAACAAAAACTGAATATAAAATACTCTTATTAAAAGGAAATAAAAAAGCTACTGAAAGGATAAAATGCTTTCAAGGAAATACATTATTTTAAACAGTCTGCAGGCTAAGTGTTCAGAATAAGTACAAATAACTCGAGGACTCTAGCCCTTTTTCCTTCAAAAAAGTCATCACAGTTAAACAGTAGAATAGAGGAGTGTCAGAAAAGGAAAAGACAACGAAAGCTTCTCTGCTTTCTTTCTGTAGCTAGACTATCTAAACACAACTAAAGGCAGTTACGACAGAGGTCTCCATAAATGGTATGCAGAAGATGAGGAGGGAACAATAACACAGGAACAAACTGACTCTAAATAAAATAATAAGGCACTAGCTTTAAAATCAGCAAATGAAATACTTTCTCAAGAAACACCTAACTGTAAAGCTTGGTGCTATGAGATGTTTTGGATTAAAAAGTATTAACAAATTCAAAACAGGATTAAACAAATCCACAGTGCTAACTATGGCTATTATGAAAAATGGCTCAGTTGTGACCTGCACCTGAGGCCATTCCTACACTGCTTATTACTGAAAACTGGAAAGTTGTGTGAGAAGAAACATCATCCCATGTTTAGCCAATTTCTTTCCATATGTATGTCTACTACCAGCCACTGTCAGAAATCAACAGTAGACTAATCTGGCAGTCCTATGAAATACAGTCTAGTGGTCGTATGAAAAGCCTGTGTTAACGTACAATGAGAATTCTAGAAAGCAGTTAGTACAGATGCTTACTAATTTACTTCAATATGTCCATTATGGGCC